ATACACTAGTCGTATCTGTGGATCTTCTACACCCCTCCCTACAGTTTTATAGTGGTGTTTCAACTACATGTATACCTGGTCGTAGAAAATGGCACAGCGCTGTGTCTTCGACCAGAATATATCGACGATCCATTTTCATATTAACTCAGTGAACTAGATGACGACCACTGGTTTTCCCTCGTTATAAACAGCTTGAGAACCAGACAAGGTTAATCTCCCAGTTACCTCCTCAAATTCCACAGGGGGGCACGTTAATACCTGTCCTCCCCCTGGGTGGCAGACTTGTGGACCGAGTATAAAGTTGCCACTCAGCTGTCGGGATCGCTGCGGTCCAGGAAGTAATTGGGATTCTGATATGACTATCTAATAATAGTCCCAATTATTTCTAATTGCGGATCCCTTCGGATCTTTGGCAGATACAAGGGGGAGGGTCGTCGCTTCTTAATCCGAGAATTTGTAGTTTCCACCCAGAACACATGTTTGTAATAGAAAAGGTCATCTTTTATCCTGTTGGAGGTTGGACGTCAGTTTTTCATTAGCGCACGCAACCCATACTTCCAGCTTGAAATCGCAAGTTCTATTAGCCGTTATGGTATAGTACCATGCCCCTTAGAAACTCCCTAAATTGTTTCCTAATCAATTGGTATTTCAAGTTGGGGAACAAAACAAACGACGTTAGTTCCCTAAACCGAGTGCCAGCCTTAATTTAGCGTATGCAATTTTTAGCCACATCACAGGGAACTTGAAAAAATGGTAATTTTAGATTAAAGATTTGCCTAATTCGCATTTATCGATGAAAAGTAAAATGGCTTTCGATCCATTCACACATATTGCTCATATCGTCCCCGTGGCTAAGCTTCTTCAGGTTACTATTTACACCAACCATTAAAATGCCGTGTGCCAAATACAGATAATAATGTGTTTGTCGGTTATGGGATCGTATTGGAACGATGACAACTTGTTAACGAGGGAACTGCATAAATATCAGGGCAAGAGATAGATCGGCCCCAGGGTCGTGAACATTCCTTTTAGGAAAGCGAGGAATTCCCGTAGTTAAAATACTTTCAAAACCAGGAAGCGCAAGAGACGCGAATGCGAACCGCGTGGTTCGGATTCCCGCCAAATGATATCAACATCTCCAAATACGCAGACGATCTGTTTACCGCCTTGCGGTGTAGCTAGCAGCGCATTTGCAATGATTTATTCTTTGTTACATTCTGTTGCAATTATGAACAAGTAGGCTATACTCTCGGGAAATGTGCAAGGCGGATCGGCGAACACTTTCCGAGCATTCCTGCATTTCAAGTAGAGAGTATGCCGATTTGCCATTATGCATTATGGTTGCTACCTTATGTGTGTTTTTAAAGCTTTTTAAGTTGCCGAATTTCTTCACGCCAATTGCACTGTTTTCGTGTTGTAACGTCTTTATACGGTCTTAATAATTGCCTGTTTATCATGAAATATTCGGTGTTGAGCATGCACGTAACACAAATGCGAAATTCTGAGTTGTGTTTTACAAAGCTAATGTTTTAAGATGAAAATAACGATTTTGTTTCAAAAGAATACAGGCCTATATCAGTACCAAAGGACCAGGTTATCGAAATGGCTCCGCACAGACTACTTTAAAGTTTACTTCCTCTTCGCATAGCCAACCGAATCAATTAGAAACCAGTTACCGGGTCCAGAGTTAGAGCCGCTTTCTGGAGAAACCTCTTGAAAATGCACTTATGGTACTCAGCAGAAGATAATACCTAACCTGTCATCCGCCTGGGGTGCCATTCTTCGTGCTTGGTATGACAGAGTCCACGCTTACGGAGGCATGAACCCCATCGTCCGGTCGGAAAACCAGTTGACTCCTTGACAACAGAGGTTTCCATAAGCACGATTGTGCCAAGTGAGCGTTTTGTTCGGCGTAATCATATTCACGTCAGCTGAAGATAAGTGATGAAAGGTCTCAAGGGAGCCAGAACCGCGGCCTTAAGAAGCAGAAGTGCCGGGTGGCGACAGATAGTTAGTGCAGTGGGTCACTGGCCGTTAGTGTACCACTTATTACCTAAAAGTTTCGATCTAAATTACGGGAGATTTTTGACATATTGGTTTATTATGGAAAGCTGTGAAGATTTTAGCATACCGCGTGGAGTTGGCTTGCTGAAGCGGTTTTGAATACGTTTTTAACATTTCTGGGTTAAGTTTTGGAAAGCAGTTACATGCATCGGAAAGGGTTATCAAAAAGCTGGGCTGAGTTAAAATGGTTTTAACAAACCGGTACTGAAGAAAAAAAATAAGTCGCAAGGTATTGTGTTGGTTCTGAACACTTTGTTGAATAGGATCTTCCAACATTGTCAGCTGAGAGTAAAGCACGGTATTTTTAAACAAATCTTTTATCTTTCCTATATATAGGCCGCTGGTATGGGCAACTGTTTTGTGCATTTTTTGAGAGGGTTTGGTCTTCTTGATCTCGTTAGATTCACGATCATTAATTGTCAAACGTATTGTACAGTTTAGCCCAGACTGAAGATGATCATCACGATGCACAATTACAAAACATTTCAAGAAGAAACTTCTAATTTGTCTATAAAGAAAAGTAAATGGCCAAATACTCTCAAAACCGGACAAAAAGTGTTTCGTCAGGTGAGCAGGCAACGAACCTGCAAAGTCCCTCCAAAGACAATAGCTACAAAGGTGACAAGCGTTCACTTCTTGTACGCAACCTCAAAAATAGAAGAGTACATAAGATCATCCGATGATTCCTTAGATACTGGCTCGACAGCTTTCATCGTATCCGTGGTGATTGTATCCCGGATACCGCGGATTTGTCAGTGTTTTCACTAAAGCAAGTGGTCTTCATTACATCGCAGACTTATTTTTGGCGGGACGTCCCGCTCCCCTTGTACCGGATGGAGCGGCATGAACGTCACGCCCTCGCAGATGAATCTCTCTGAAGACTGAAGCAAAGACTGAAGCAAAGACTGAAGCAACGGCTGATGATGTCTGAAAGCATGTACATGTACATGTATTCATAATTTTACGCATTTTGTTTTATTGTTCAAACCAGGGAGATCGCTTTCAGGTTTAATAATAACATCACTTGGACATTTCAAATGCTTGTCAGATAATCGTATAGGCCTACTCTGCGTTGAATACATCAACGTGGCGATATGAACAATATTTTCTCAGGATGATTTTTTTTTTGCATTTCACCGATGTTAAGAAAGAATTTTATATGAATCACGTTTCATCACTGCACAAGAATTTAGATTTGTGTAGTTATCCAGCTGAAATTGGTGGTATCTTCAGTTCCAAGATTAAGTAATTCGGATAACAGCAACATCTTCGGATACATTTTCTATTCGTGGCTCCAATGGAAGCAAGCAGTCAGTGGCTGTTCAAGTTGATCTGGAATCATGGTGACTGTTGCTCTGAATTCCGGAGTAACAGGATGATAGTGGGCGGACAGTCAGTTTGAAATAAGACGATCATCCATTTTTTGTGTGGCTATACTCAATGGACTGCCAAATGATTTGTGCGTACACACAAACGCACAGTCAAGAGGTCCATTAGCCACAGAGACATTCTCCGGTAATTGAGCTAATTTTCTGAACCGACAACAAATTAAGATCAATTACTTCCGTCTTTGACGAGGCAACATAGGATGGTTTTTCTTAGGCGGTATTATTGTCAACATCTACTATAGGCTCAATGGAGAATACTCTTTTGTTAGACCACAGGCCAATTGCTCCATCCATCCAGATTCTTAGACAGGATAACCCCTTGATGTGAATTTGTTGTCCTGGGTTCTGAAGGGTCCTGAAAGGACAAGACAACAGTGGAATTCTTTCGGTGTTGCGAATTTCTATTACGCGAGTTTCTCATATCGTATAGTCGCGAGGGCTTTACCGTGTTACCCGTGACGTCATGCCTACGGGCAACCATCGCACAACCAAATCATTGTACACATTATAGTTGGCCCACATTAACAATTATGTCAACCATTCATATTTCAAGAGATATGCAGCAGCAGGCGCGGTTCTACGGGGGGGGGGGCTAGAGGGGGCTTTAGCCCCCCCCCAAATTTTGTCTAGCCCCCCAAAATAAATTCCGTAAAAAGAAATTGCATTAGCAAAAAGAAGGATTGTGAAGTACATGCGAACGGTCTCCCCCTAAAGAAATAGCCGTGACAAGGGTGCATTAGTTAATATAGTGTGAATGATTTTAGGATTTTATTGGCGCTCCCCATTGAAAAAATGGCATGCCCCCCCCCCCCCCCCCCCCCATTGATTTTCGGAGGCCTAAGTGTCTGGAGAAAATAACCAGTCTACATTTCAGCACGCCTCCCTGAAAAAAAATTCTGGATCCACCCTGCTAGCCCCCCCCCCCAAAAAAAAAATATTGGTTCTAGAACCGCGCCTGTGCAGCAGTGTAGAAGAGACCCGTTTTACTGAAAGTTGACATCACGTGACCAGAACATCCATTTTGTAAACCAATGTCACATGGTCTATATCTTGAATATAAAGTTATTCTGTCTACGATTTTTTCCCCCGCGATGTCGTGAACTATAGCGGAAAGAAATTGATGGCTGCGAGTGATGTCTCTTCAGCACCGCGGATTTTCACACCACGACAACATGTCACCGGAAGCCTTTCAAAAGGCCCATTGTCGTAGACTAAATACACTGTGTGAAAGGGGAGAGGGCTCTTAAAAACCAAGCATCTGACATTATCCAGACACCAGGCCTAAAACCCAACATTAACACATCTGTTTAAATACAGTAGCATCAAAACTTTTACTTTTCCTTTCAATTCAGTGGCAAGCCCGAATCTGCCTCTTTTAAGGAATGGACACGTTGGAACCATGAAGGCTTGACTATGTCGTGAGACGATTTCAGATGCTCTGCAAAACAGATTTCAATTGAAGTATCTGTTTAAGATAGTAATTCAAAAGAATAATACTTTTTTTTGTTTTCAAATTCATGACTCAAAGGGTGGGGCTGATCGCACCAAAAGTCAAGTGATACCGCCGCAAACCCTCAGGGAAGGGGGTCAACTATTAATAATGGTCAGTCAACAATCTGTCCTTCCTCTTCAGTAACAGAACCCAGGAAACGATCCATAATGCACCATCTTGTGCGTTCATGTCAGAATCGAATATGACAAGAGGAGTGTTGCATCAAGAGGATTTATCATGCTGCTACTTTTCAAGAGGATAAGATTGTCTTTAATTCTCTCGGTGTCGAATGTCAGAGAGGCCATTGTATCTCCACATGACCTGGATGCACGCTTCCCGTCAAGGAGCAAAGGTGAGGCTATATTTTGTCTCCAGGAAGATGACAGCCCCTCAAGGCAGTTGGTGCGTTAACTGATAGGTCCTGAAGGTATATCCACGGCTTTTTACCAGTGTCAACACCGACTTGAGGTTATCTCCTTGTCGCAGATAATAGACTTAACCTCCGGTAAACATCATCTCGTCGGAGTGCCGAGCGCACCAGATCTTCTCTCTTCGTCGGATTAAGTTCCGAAAAAGAAAAGGGCGGCTCTCTTCTCGCCATTTAGCGAACAATCAGATATCGATCTTGCAAAGAAAGGCCCGCTGCAAAAGGTGTGAAGTGCAATTTTCCCGGGGTCCCCACCGATCGAAGAAAGTTGACAACAGCTGCGGCCGACGTGATCAAGATAGATTTGATCATTGACAGGAGAAGCCGGAAGAACTCTTGGGAATCCGTGAATCCAGGAACATCACCACGTCAGCTTTGAGAAGAGAGCGGTAGGACTTGAACATTAATTTATTTCTATACACAAACCCACCCAGAAGTCGGGAAGTCATTTATTATGAGGGTCAGAAAGCTATAAATTCGATGGGAGGTAAGCTGATCCGAAAGGTGTTCCATATCACGGGAAACCCTACGGTCTTGACAACTATATCGTTTGAATGCAGATGTTTCTCTCAAGCGAAACACGCATTTGGCTTTCATTTTATCGCACACAAAATACTAAAATGCTTATTAAATATAACATCCCGACGCTCGAAAAGTTTAACTGGATTGCAGCAAAATAATGAAAAAAGAAATACGTATAGTGCACCTCTTACAATTAGAGAATGGTATAGAAGAGATATAAGTATGTGTAGTATTCTTGGCTTGTGTTTTCCTTATCTTTGGCATCTTTTTTAATCGTTGGTTGTACTGAATGGCTGCAAGCTTAAATGGTATGGTATAGAGAGGTATATAAGAGATATAAGTATGTGTAGTATTCTTGGCTTGTGTTTTCCCTATCTTTGGCATCGTTTTTAATCGCTGGTTGTACTGAATGGCTGCACTGAGCTTAAATGTGGATTATTTCCATACCAAAACAAATCACAGGGACGGATATTAACCCCGTTTTAGTTTTACTTTAAAACAAAACATCATGATTTAAATACCTGGCGGAAACCCATGCACTTGTCGAATTTACTCATCAGAAAAAAACAAATTGCCCCAGGCGTTGCGCCTTGACAAAAGCAGAAACTACTCCGTGGCTACTAAATGTCCAAGGTTTATTTGATTTGATTTCAATTCACGGATAGCCATAAATTCTAAATTAATGCCTTTATTTGCTCAAGACTGTCTCCGATTCGGAACCTCGGTGTTGTTTTATGATTTAATTTATGGAGACCAATAAATGAAATACAATTTGCTGTTGATACAAATTGAATCCGACTTCGCTCTGAGAAGTAGATCACGGCCGAAACAGAGGCGGTACTGTTTGGATTGACGGCACGGCGCGGACATGCTTCAGAACTAGACTTGCAAAATCATCTTTCATCCCAATGCTCTAGATTGCACGTAGACTCCACTAATGCACACGCCTCGTGGGAATGATCTTTTCTTTATCAATCAAACTGAATAGAGCCAAAACGGAATGGGCGTTGAGAGACAAGCATTTTTTTGAAAGTTTCATTTCCATGGCAGTAATTAGAATTGATACAATCAACGGCGGGATCTGGGGAAAAGAAGATTTGGTTTACTTGTACTTTCTTTTATTGAAGACTCCGACGATACCAAAAGATCTCCCGCAAGTCTAAATTTAAAACTCGTTTTATTATGGCGTAGGTCGTTACATTGACCCATGGGCTGCACTCACAACACTACAGATTTTTAAACAGATTTTTACAGCTGTCGTTTCAAAGACGTAATGTCGGTCCACAATGCCTCCGGGTTGAGATCTTCCTTAAGTGCGACTTCATCCCTTAATGTTGACAAAGGATACTCAGCGGAATCCCCCAACTTTACACGTTTGCCGCAATGCATATACTCCAAAGTCTCGGGGAAAACAAAAACAAGGTTGAAGTATCTCATGGTAAATGTAACAAAAAGGCCTTCTTACACATGGGTGGGCAAAATAGTAAGTATCCTGTACAGGTTAAGATCTACTTTCTCCTTAGTTTAATTAATGACGTATGAAAATACTGAAAGTAATTATTCCAATTTGCCAGTGAATTGTATCGGGGTCGTTTGTTGAGATAACCAGATAGTCGTGCTGATGAATGCTATAAAATCAAGTTACCATTACCACTATTATGTCCGCATTCAATTGGTTGGAAGATTAGTACAAACAGCTTATACGTCAGTGATAATTTGTTTGTTGGATGGTTGGTTTGTTGGTTTGTTGATTTGTTGGTTCGTTAATGCACGTGCTAGCTTGATAGCAATTGTAACTCTTGGAGGGCAAAAACTGTACGCTTTCTGTGCATCGCTACTTGGAAGGCTTCTAAGGCATTTCGTATTCGTCGATTGCTAGGTAGGTGGTGTGTCACTTTGCAAGTTCAAGAGTTGGTTGTTTTGCTAGTGTTTGATTGGTTGGATAGCTCGTTGTTGATTGGACAGCAAGTGGTAGACGTGGACACTTGTTTTCCAAGTGATCGGTGTAAGATAGTAGTCTATGGAAAAGAATAGCCGCTGGCACAGCAAACGTCTATGATAATGCGTGCAGAATCTTCCAAACAACACTGCGTGTTGACCTTCAGATTCTGACCATTCAACGGGAGCCTTCTATCGGGTCTTCGATAACCTGTTGTTGTGTTACAAAAAACATGGCAGCAAATTGACCAATCAACAGCTTAGGCCGAACGTCTGCTCAAAATGACGTCATATTTTCTGAAGTCGACTCCGATTGGCTGGACGGTCGCACAAAACTTGCATGCACACACAAAATATCAGACGTTGTTGTGAAGCGTGCGGGGTTCGTTGAACATCAGTTGACACTCAGACTAGTAAGATAGTTGGTTCCTTTTTGGGTTTGTTTTCTTTTTCTTGATTGGATAGACACCTGCTTCCATCATAATGTCATGTTTCATACCATTTCATAACTGCACTGGCCTCATACTGCCCGTGATGTTCTGACAAGTCAGATGACTCAGCGGGCTTTTTCGATTTGCCGGTTCGTTTGACGTGATGAATCAACTTGAATTTTTTAGTGGGATGATATGCAATAATGAGAGCGAACAACAACGGGAGTTCACGATGATTGTCAATCATCGGCGAGAAGGCTAGGGTTCGCTCTCTTGAAGACGATGAAAACCAACCTGCTAAGTCTTGTATAGAGAACTGTCACTCCTCGGAGTTTTGCGATTTTCTGACCTGATATCTCCGCCGTGACGAAATGTGTCAGAGAGTGAGCAGAACTTTCTTCGATTGCTCAAGTTACACAGGAAAGGGGATTTATCAATTTGTTTAAGAGGTGGGAATGAAATCGTACTCAGTTGCACGCGGAGCAGAAACAAAATTGAAATATCTGGCCAATTCTCACTTTCAGGGTGTGTGTATGTGATTCATCCGGATACAGAAATGAAAGGGAAAAAATGAGTAATCAGATGACGAAAGAAAAGCTGTAGAGATAAAAGGCTACATAGGAAGTGCTGTGTAAAAACAGCTCCTCTATTATTTAGAGGCCTCAGAAGGCACCTTATCACCATCTCACATTCCACGCCACATTCCACATTTAGCTAATGAAAGCATCAACGATATTAACTTGAACAAGTAGTAACCGGGCGATCACAGCTGTGTCTTCACTTTAGAGTGCCAGATTGTCTTGAACACGAATCTAGTTCCTCATCACCTTGGATGGGGGAATTCGGGAATGCAGCAGGCTCTTCCGAAGATCTGCACGGTCATCCAAGGTTGTGATGCACTGCACATTTGGCGAGCACATTACAGGAGCCAAGAGCGAAAGCCTTGCTCAATATTGTATCACAGATTCACAGAGCAAGCACACGTGGTGTGTGCACTGCGGGATTGCCTGGAGTAAAGTAGTTCCCATTAGATGAATCATGTTCCTTATTTAACACTTACCGAATCCAAATCCGTTTAGTTCCTCACACCTTAGGTAATACAATGACACGATTAGGCCAGCAGCTCTCAGGCTGGTGTGGAGGGGTACTTAAATGGCTTAGCTAGGTGCGATGTTGTGAGGTTTCCTCACGGAGCATCACTTCGACAACCAAACAAGTGTGGTTAGCGTACCTGAAGAAGTTTCGCAGTCGCACAAACAGTTAAGACTTGAATCGTGTATTTTAAGTAGCAATGATTAAACTTTAAATCACTTTAAAATAATCCTTACCTCTTGAGTAACTTGACTTTAATTTATCAATGTGCTCCCTTTTATTTTTGTCGGCGTTTTCCCCCGTGAGGAACTAAAAGAAGACTTGCATAAAGAAGATGCAGATGCATAGGAGAAGAAACGTGTAAAGCAAGATGCGATGACTAAAGTAGGTATGGCGACAGTTCAAGAGAAAACTGCATCCATGTGGAAGTGGAAAATTCAGTCTCACCTCCAAAATCAGGTTCAAGGATTTTCCCCTGGCATGAGTGGCATCTTCTTAATTACTTTATCATTATGGGATCTTGACACGGTGTATTTTACTGCATTATCTGTGTACGGACTCAGGTCTCTTTCATCAACTTTCCTTCGCTTTTTTTGAATGATGGATGTTTCCGAAAAAAGTACTTCGCCTAGTTTTATTTTATTTATTTTATTTTTTTAGATGGGATCTTTACTTGTTTACATCTTAAGGAAAGTGGCTAAATCCCAAGGCGCTGATGACTGTATAAACTTGCGTGTTAGTCGATAAGAAAATGTCATAATTTTGTACAAAACTGAAGATAGTCGTCGTCAGAAACATGCGCCGTGTTTCCTGGCACCATTTGCAAATTCCCCGGGCCGGGAGAGGCCAATTAGTCATTCTCTCTTTTCTCCAAAACGAAACACCTTAAGATGCTCCCTTGATTCGTCTGAGACACCTTAACGAGAGGAAAAGGGCTTGGTGAGGGGGGTGATTCTGTCGACGAGTGAGGGGGAACCCCCAAGGGTGTCAGTTGGCAGCGTTGAGAGGAAAGAGATCTTGATTCGAACCGGAAAGCCTGGGGCACTCGGTCTAGGGAGAGAGTCCAGTTGTGTGTGGAGAAAGACTTGAGGGTTGAGAGAAGAACAAGTTCACGCCTATATACCGTACCCACAGGTGTCTCTCCGCAACTATCTCAAACACTACAGGCTCTCACTTTGTGAGACTCTTTACATGGATTGATTGTCAAGATAATACAGATATCACTACATCGTGTCTGAAAAGTTCTTTTCTCTACGGTAAATGGCGCATCTGTCCGGAAACTAGTCGAGTTCAACGCTCAGGCACATTGTAATTGAGACGGAGCATTGCTAAGCGTTGAAGAATAGTGGAGTATTAGCAAGACGGAAACTGTGAACAGCGATTATTAAAATGCTCCACAGAAAGTA